TACAGGTACCCTTCGTTTGATTGGAGCTTTTTATGCATGTCAAATTACTAAATACCCCATTTATTTAGATTTTTTCTTGAGTAAATTAGTGAGGATGTTAGGCCCCAACCCGTTTTATTAAAATAAATAAAAAAAAGCTACAAAAACAACCCTTTTACAACCCTCAGGAAGGGAACAATGGCAGCATCAGACAAAAGAAAAGGCATTAAAAAACCTGGGAGGCGAGCATGCTACCCCCATTTGTTTAGAGTTCTTTTCATGAACACTAACAACTAGGATATCTTTGAGGATATATGTGAGGAGGTACTTGAGTAAAAAAAACAAAAAAAGTGAAAAAAGTAAACCATGTAATGTTATTGTCAAAAAAAAATCCTCTAATGTTATGTTAATTGGAGGTTATGAACTCAATGATTTTATAAAGGGTCATGAAACTTCAACAACATTTTCCTTAATAATTAATAAGAATAATAAATTTTCGATAAATTAATAGCAATAAAATTTCCTTTTGTTTTAGGGGCAGGTGGGTTAACTTGGCCTGTAGGGTTCATGCCGAGGTCATAGCATAGGAGATCAATAAAAAAAGGCAACCCTAACAAGATCTCAATGAATTGTTAATTGGGTCAGGTAAGGATTTCCAATATTAACACTTTTTAATTATTGATTAGATAAAGTGGATTGGGCTTAAACAAGCTTTTCATTGCACTTGCTTCTTGTCTCTTTCAATTTGGAATAACCTTTTTAGATGTTCTTGCCCTCGTGTGACACCAAATCACACGTGCCATTTCACAAGCAAAAATGATTGAATTTAGACTTCATCCTTAATCTAATTTTTATTATTTTTCCTTATTTATTTTGGGAAGCAACCTTCGGTCCAAGTTGGTGACCTAATTATGATATTGGGACCTCCTTTTCGTACCTGTCTCCGGTTTGATGAATTGACGTTTGGGCACTTGAAAAATCTCGACCGTCCATTCTTTTATCTTTTAAAGTTGTTATTGTAAGGGATTTACGGGTTTTTTAGGCCAAATGTGGTACGTGAGATTAAACTTGGCAAGGAGAACGAACTGACGTTTAAAAAAACGTTGACGGGATCGGAACTGATGGATCCCAATCGAGAATTATTGAATACAAATTGGTTTTTGTAAAATATCGAGAACCGACGGGTTTGCCGCATGACACGGCCAGCTCTGGCCAATTCTGTCATAGAAACAACGAGTCTCCATTTTTTTTTGTAATTTTCTAATGATTGGATTTTGGTGGACCGGATCGTCAATCTCGACAACCCATCTACCGAATTGGACTAAAAATTCGGGAACACGATTTTGCTCCCTCCCCCTGTGTTTCTCTCTCTCTCTCTCTCTTAATTGCCTAGTTAAATCAGAACCGGCTGTTGGTCAGTTATAGTTTCGGCTGGTTTAGGTGACCGGCCGAGTATTTTTAAAATAATATATAAAATCCTAAAAAATAAAGAATTTTGTTTGTAATAATTTTTTAATGTTTTTCATCATTATGACAAACATTGGCAATTATTTTGGCCATTAATACTTAGTTTTACATTTTTTCATCTTTTTTAGAAAATTTTAATAATATTATTGGCACAAATCGATTCTTTAAAATTTATTTATTTATTTTATTAATTTTCAACTTCATTTGAATGTACTTTGTTTAATCATTCTTTAAATATATTTTCATATATTATTATTTTTTTATACTTTGTTATTTTTTAACTCTGTGCTATTTTCTTGATTTTTCCAACAATGGGTCAAACATCAAGGACACGGGAGAGGAGCAGAGAGAAGCTTCGGTGCCAATCGATGGACAAACAAAACAAGATAAAATCTAAAAGATATTTGCAAGGTTATGCATGTGAAATACAACGGGAAAATGGAATGGACGGTTCTGATTTCTCTAAAGGAAAGGAGCTTATCTTATTTGTCATTCCTAAGACGTTGATGCATGTCCATTTCAAATTCTGTGCTGTAAAATTTTCAAAACATGTAACATCGGAGAACAAGTGACCTTGTATCGACAAAATTTATCCCTGGACCATTCATGACTGTACTAGTCTTCTAGAGAGAGAGATATCACAACTGTTCTAGAGAGAGAGACTCTAAACATTTGTCACTCTCATGGAGAGATTCACGGACCACTTATTTGCCTTTGTGCCAAGATTGCAGAGAAAGCAAGAAATATGCCTAGCGTACGTAAGAGAGAGAGCGAGCGATTCAAAGTACCTAAGAGAAAAAAATTGCACAAAAGATGAAATGCATAAGAATTTTAGTTCTAGCTTGAATCAATTCAGAAAAATAAATAAAAAAATAAATGTAATACAGAAAATGGATTATATTACGAAAATGTACGAATAATGATAAAGCCCTACATTTTGTACAGAATACAATTATAAACATTGATTACCGATTTGGGAATATCAATTTCATAAAATTAATAAAAATTTCCACAAATCCAAGTTTATGGATACAAATTTGCCTCAACACCCTACTAGAACCGAGTTACCCTTGAGACCCTACTGCAAGCGATTGTGGGAGTTGAAGTAAATTATGCTTCCGAGGGAGCATAATATACATGCTCATAGTTAGGGCTGACAATGGACCAAGACCTGACCCAAGACCAGACGGTAGACCCAACTGGGTGGATCCAAAAATTGAATCCGGCAGGTTGGGTCCTGGTTTAAATCTTGGACTCGAACACTATTCGGGTCTGGGTCTAGGTCTGAGAAGTATTTTTCGGATCCTAATATTTGAAATATATTTAAATATAGTTAAAAGAAAAAAAAATAAATAATAGTCAATCAAATTAAGGTGCACCTCAAAAATTCATTAAAAGATGTTGTTTTGATGCCCAAAATTCATCAAATTGATCATCTCGACTTCATGATGTATGGACATGAAAAAAATGGATTTCAAATATTGGAATAGTGCATCTTGTAATGCATTTTCTGGACCATCATTTTCAAGATTTTCAAGTGTTCATACATCTGCTCGATCTACACTATTTTTGAAGCGTTAAATTTTATAATTAGAAATGAAATAAATTTTCATCCCATTACAAGAATTTCAGTACTAAAAATAATATCTTTCAACACTTTTTGAAGGAGGACCTTATTTTGAGTTTTTAGGGCTTTAGCCTTGTGCAAACCGTACCCATAATTAAAATGGGTGCAGTTGGTATAGAGGCTTTAAACAATCAAAATAAAAGGAACCTTTAAAGAATGTCGAGAAATGTGGTTTCAATATTGGAAATCTTTGTGAGAGCCTTACAAAATATTTTCATCTTTAATTAAAAAATTTAAAGCTTCGAAAATAGTGCAGATCTACGAAAATCTTGAAAATTGACTGTCCAAAATTATGTTACAAGATGCACTATTTCCAAAACTTAGAATCCATGTTTTTCTCATGTCCATGCATCATGAGCTCGAGATGATCAATTTGAGTATCAAAACAACATATTCTAGTAAAATTTTTGAGATGGGCACCAATTTGATTGTTTAGAGCATCGGTTCTATATAAACTTGTTTTTAATTAAATACATAGATATTTTAGTTTTTGGGTTGGGTCCGGGTGTCGGCACCGCAACTGAAAGTTATTGTTCCTAAAAGGATATTGTTGCTAAGAAAAGGTCGTTAATCGGTTCATTAATTTGAAGAAGAGAAATAAAGAGGGTAATATCTAAACTTAGAGAGAGAATGAAGCAAAGAGCTCCAATCTAGGAAGAGAAAAATTTAGGGGGAGACAATCCTAAATTTTCGGCTCTTTGTATTCACCTCACACTCCCCGACCATGAAACTTTCACAGTTGCATAAATCCTAATAACACAATCAAATCTCCCTCTCCCGCCAATCTAATTTAATGTCTCTCCTTCTCCTCCTCCTGCCCCGCGCCCCATTCGTTTCTCTCTCATCGGAAATCGCGCCACGTGCCATACGTCCAACCCCACGCCCCTATCCCCTTCTCATGCCGTCCTCATCGGCTCCCCTCATTAAGTTAGGCTCCTTAATGCAATTTCTAGAAACTCAAGAGAAACTAACGCTTAGTTAGGTTTTTTTTCAAGTTCTCTTATACGTTTGTACCTAAAATTTCCTTTATTTACCACTGTATCCCTCCTTGTATCTAGAAGAAATAGGCCCTTAGCATGCGGTTTTATTAATTTCTAGAGAGAAATTAAGGCTCTTAGCATGCGGGTTTGCCAAAAATCTAGAGAGAGATTCCTAGCATGCGGGTTTACCAAACAAATCTAGAGACAGGTTCCTACCATGCATGCGGGTTTAATGAAAATGGTAATAATATACAATATGCTCCCACGGGAGCATAGTATACGCACTTTAAACCTAACTAAATCACCCGAGAGTAGTAGTTGTCTCTCCTAAGAATTAATTTTCATATACATTCATTTTTAGCTCAACAAAGAAGGGCACCCCTTCGCAATTATCGAGATCTCGAGGGGTACTTTCCTGAGATCTAATAATTATTACCGAATAAAAAATCGCCAGTAATAAATCTACAGATCAGTTTTTCTGGAAATTTGGATATCAAATATATACAAATAAAATCTAATTTAAAAATAAAATAAATTAGATTATTTATTGGGTAACTAGAAACAAAAATATTAAAAATAAAAACATAAATAAATCCTTGCACATCTCCTCTTCAAGTGCTTTGACCGCCCATTACCGCACGTTCTTACTCTACCCGCCATGGCGGCGGCTCTTTTGTTCTCACCCCAAAAACCAGAGCAAATTACTCATCAAATCAAATATAAAACGTTTTATATGAATAAATCAATTATCAGTTGAGAACATTCAGAGTACCCATTGCATAAATCCCCTAAATTTTTGCACTGTTTATCCTTTTTGCGAAAAGAATGGCATGCGTATTGTATTGGTTGCTCTCTTCTCTCTCTATGAAACCTCACAGGAAATTGATGCTCATATGGAGAAGCCCAAGCTGAGAATTTGAGCGCTGGCATTGACTTTCTAGGTGATGGGACTTTTCTTCTTCTATTACGAATTTGTTGACCTTGTATGCCTTTCATTATATGCTTAGAGCCTTAGAGAGAGATTGTATATTGGTAGGAAGGTCTAGCTGTTGTGCTTTGAACCCATGTGAAACAGTTTGGAAGCTTGTTTCTTTATCTTTCTTATTTTTATGGATTTTCCATGTTCAAAGATTTGAGTTATTTATGCGAGTCAATGAAAACCCGCTACGCAAGTTTGATTGACACGGGTTAGATAAAGGAACGGAAGATGTACTTTCCTATAAGAATTATAGCTAGAGATGGAGAATGGGGATTCCTTAATTTCTAGAGACAGAGAGAGACTTGCACAGGTGCAGGTTTTTTGGTATTTTGATCTTTCTTGGTTTTTTTGTTACTGTTCAGACAGTTTGAATTTTTAGTTCCTTGTCAAATTTTTGGGTTGACAGTTTCGGGTTTTGTTGATTGCTTTGGAGTTTGCTGACAAAAGTAGGTTTTTTCTGATTTGAGGTTTGGGAATATTTGGTTGTGGGCTTTTTTTTTTTATGTTTCTTGTTCAGAGAGAGGGAAATTGGGGAACATTTAAGGACTTAAGGAGAAGTTGTGTCACTGAATTAGAGCAACTCTTAGTTTCCCCTGCATTTTTTTTTTTCCACTTTTTCTTGTTTGGGGTGTTGGGATTTCAGCTGTTTAGCTAGAGAGAGAAACTAAATCTGGGAAATTTGGGGTATAGGTAGCTCTTTTTTCAGAAGATGGCTGGTAGGAGGAGGAAGAGGATCCATTTCAGCAAGATCTATACCTTCTCGTGTGGTAGGTCCTCTTTCAAGGAAGACCATTCGCAAATTGGAGGGCCTGGTTTCTCGAGAGTGGTCTTTTGCAACGAACCCGATAGTCCAGAAGCTGTACTTTTGAATTATGGGAATAATTATGTGTCTACTACCAAGTACACAGTGGCCACTTTCATTCCAAAATCTCTCTTCGAGCAATTCAGGAGAGTTGCAAATGTATACTTTCTCGTGGCTGGTTGCTTGGCCTTCACCCCTTTGGCTCCTTACACAGCTATTAGTGCTATTGCTCCTCTGTTATTTGTGATTGGGGTTAGCATGGTGAAAGAGGCAGTTGAAGATTGGAGAAGGCAAAAACAGGTTGGTTTTTCATCATTTTTTGGTGTTCTTGTTTTGATTGCTTTTATTGTTTTGTATTTTATTTGATTAACTAGCGGTTTGTTTCTTTTCCTTTTCCTTTTGTGCAAATAATATTGGTTTTGCTTTCATGGAAGAGATATGTGACACAAAGGAAAAGCATATTTGGTCAGGAAATTTGCAATTGGGTTTTGATGATGTTCAGTTTTGCATTCTCTTTAATCTTTATATTGCGGTTGTTCAGAAATTTTTCTTTTTTCTTTTTTTAACTGTAGAAAGATGAACACCAAAAAAGAAAGAAGGGACTATGTTTTCTATGAGCTTTTATTTTTACTTTCCCTGCGGGGTCTGAGGAAACAGTGTTTTGCTCGGGGATGAAAGATGTCAACCCCAAAATGAGAAATTTCTGTCTTATGACGGTACAAGTAACAAGCTTGTAGACCAAAAATTTTCACTATTTCATTTTACATTGTCACTCTGGTTTGGGACTTGATTTTTGTGTTTCTTATTGGATTTTGTCTATATTGGTTGGAAAACTGAAACTAGACACTTACCCCGAAAAAAAAAAAAATTTGAAACTAGACTGTAGGACACCTGCGCATAACAGGGAATCTGCTGCAACTATCTCCTTTCAATCAGGTTTCATGAGCTATAGTAAAGTAAATTCTTCATTGAACTTCAGCCCTTGGATTGTGTAATCTTAAGGAAGTAAAAAAAGAATCATTTTTCCAATTGTCTGCGCATTAGGATTGTCCATGTTGAACTTGTAACATTCTTGAATCTACACTCTCTTACTGCTTTCACTGCACCATTATATGAATACCCTATTGGGTGTTTCAGGATATAGAGGTGAACAATCGAAAGGTCAAAGTGCACGGTGGTGATGGCAACTTCCAACACACAGAGTGGAAGCACCTGAGAGTTGGCGACATCGTGAGGGTCGAGAAGGATGAATTCTTCCCTGCTGATCTCCTTTTACTTTCTTCTAGTTATGATGATGCTATTTGTTACGTTGAAACCACCAACCTTGATGGTGAAACAAACCTAAAGCTAAAGCAAGCTCTTGAGGTCACGTCAGGCCTCCATGATGAGTCAAGCTTCCAAAACTTTAGAGCAACAATAAGATGCGAAGACCCAAATGCAAACCTCTACTCCTTTGTGGGTACCATGGACTACAATGAGATGGCGTATCCTCTCTCTCCTCAACAAATTCTCCTCCGAGACTCTAAACTTCGAAACACCGATTACATCTATGGCCTGGTGATCTTCACAGGCCATGACACTAAGGTGATCCAAAATTCCACTGATCCACCTTCCAAGAGGAGCAATATAGAGAGAAAAATGGATAAAATCGTGTATTTTCTCTTTTCCTCCTTGGCTTTGATAGCCACGATTGGTTCGATTTTCTTTGGCATTTGGACTTCAAAGGACTTTAGGAATGGTAACATGAAGAGGTGGTACCTCCGGCCTGGTGATGCCACCGTCTACTTTGACCCAAAAAGGGCGCCTTTGGCTGCAATTTTGCATTTTTTGACGGCTCTTATGCTTTATGGCTACTTTATCCCTATCTCGCTTTATGTATCGATAGAGATTGTTAAGGTTCTCCAAAGCATCTTCATCAATCAGGACTTGAACATGTACTATGAGGAGGCTGACAAGCCTGCTCATGCTCGCACTTCGAATTTGAATGAGGAACTTGGGCAAGTTGACACCATACTCTCTGATAAGACAGGTACCTTGACATGTAACTCCATGGAATTCATAAAGTGTTCGATTGCTGGTACAGCCTATGGGCGTGGGATTACGGAGGTGGAAAAAGCCATGGCTAGAAGGAAAGGATCACCCAGGCTTGAAGGATCAAGTGATGAAAGCAATGTCGAGGTAGAGGTTATTGGTTCGAAACCTCCAATCAAAGGATTTAATTTCAAAGATGAGCGGATAATGAATGGGCAATGGGTGAATGAAGAGCATGCAGATGTGATCCAAATGTTCTTTCGAGTGCTTGCAATTTGCCATACAGCAATTCCCGAAGTGTATGAAGAGACCGGGAATGTTTCTTATGAGGCTGAGTCACCGGATGAAGCTGCCTTTGTTATTGCAGCTAGAGAACTTGGGTTTGAGTTCTATAGAAGGACACAGACGAGCATATCTCTCCATGAGTTCGACCCAGTATCTGGCGCAAAAGTAGAACAGTTAGTATTTATGTGGTTGTTCTTTTATATTTTTTTATCTCTGTATTTAAAAGGTAACTATCCTATATCCTCGCAAACTTTTTATCGGGGTTGTCACTGTCCAATGAATTGCTTGATGCTGACGGAGAGAGAGTGAGACCTACCAGGGGTTTCTTGTTCTGTTCTGGTTGTTCCAGTCTTTTCATCATTCTTACATTATTTGGTTGTATCATGATGATGCCAATGGACCATAATTTTACATCCCTGAATAATAATATACTTAATAAGTACTATGGCGAGTTATAGAGGTAATGCAACCAAATGTACATAATCACATAAGGGAGGTAATAACTTGCTAATTTTTAATATCGTACTTCCGAATATTTATATTATATTGTGTTCATGTGCTATTTATGACATTTTGTAGGTCCTACAAGATTCTAAATGTTTTGGAGTTCAGTAGCTCTCGGAAGAGAATGTCTGTGATTGTCCAAAACGAAGAGGGTCAACTCTTGCTTCTTTGCAAGGGTGCTGACAGGTTTGTATTCCCCATCGCCTCAACATTGTTCAATATTTGGTTCTTAATTTGTAAAAATAATCTCTTCTATATAAATGGTTTGATCTGCATGGTGGAAAGAATAACTGTTTTCTTTTCATATTTTTATTGGGGGCATCTATTTATATTTGATTGTTGATTTTTATAAGCAGTGTCATGTTTGAAAGCCTTGGGAAGAATGGGCGGGAGTTTGAGGATAAAACCAGGGATCACATAAATGAATATGCCGATGCAGGTTTGAGAACCTTGGTACTTGCATATCGTGTGCTTGAAGAAGAGGGGTATAGGGCTTTCAGTAAGGAGTTTGCTGAGGCCAAGAGTTCAGTTAGTGCAGATCGAGATGCATTGGTGGATGAGGTGGCATCAAAAATAGAGAATCATTTAATTCTTCTTGGTGCCACAGCTGTTGAGGACAAACTACAAAAGGGGGTGAGAATATACCTGACATAAATGGGTCTTTCCATATGATAAGCCTTAAGAAAATGTGTAGCAAGTATTATACATGGACCTAATTGCCAAATTGCTATTGTTTTGATTCCTAATAGGTTCCTGAGTGCATTGACAAGCTTGCACAGGCTGGTATAAAGATTTGGGTTTTGACTGGAGATAAGATGGAAACTGCAATCAATATTGGGTATGGTTTACCAACGTAATTTGCATGCTTTTCTGTGTTCTATAAGATCTCTACTTATGTCTCCCATATTTGAATTTTGAATGCAAAATAAAAGAATCTGTATTTTTAGGCATAAATCTTCTCATATGCTGGTCGGTCTAGGTTTTGTTTTATAGCTACTCTATAATGACTTGAGGAAATTGTTCAGGTTCGCATGTAGTCTACTTAGACAAGGGATGAAGCAGATTATTGTTGCCTTAGAGACACCAGATATCAAAGCTTTGGAGAAGCAAGGGGACAAGGTTGCCATTGCGAAGGTAAAGAATTTCTCATATGTCCCACTTGCTTTTTATGGTATATTGGTCGGTGTTTCTCTGCAGTTCATGCGGTCCAGAACCCAGCTTCATGTTTGCTCTTGAATTTCAAATTCTCTAGCAACTGTGGTAGTGATATATATTTGACGATAGACAGGATTATTTCTTTGGAAAATGATACGCACTGGAATGCTCTCCAAAACCCTTTGTTTTTGTTTGGGTGGGGGCGGGGTGGGAATCTTGAAATTAATATTCATATTTAAAACTAGATAAAAGCTCTACAGAGTACTATTTAGTTTGGGCTTCATGGCCACTACTCCTGGCCACCATAATTGTTGAGTAGGTCCCCACTTGTTTTTTATGGTATATATTGTTCATGGTTTCTCTGCAGTTCATGCTGTCCAGAACCCAGCTTCATGTTTGTTCTCGAATTTTAAATTCTTTAGCAACTGTGTTTTTTTGGGTAAGTGGACGAATCGTTGCGACACAGGGCTGAATCTCGGTGGATTATGGCAGCAAGGCCACTCTGCCACTTATAATATCCCGTCATGTATTTAAGTCGTCTGCAAAGGATTCTACCTAATTGCATTGCATTTAACAATTGTGTTAGTGATATATATTTGACGATATACAAGATCATTTTTTGGAAAATGATATGCAGTGGAATGCTCTCCAGAACCTTTTTTTTTTTTGTTTGGGTGGGAGCGGGGTGGGAATCTTGAAATTAATATTCATGTTAATTTAAAACTAGATAAAAGCTCTACAAAATGCTTTTCAGTTTGGGCTTCATGGCCACCACTCCCAGCCACCAGAATCGTCGAGCAGGCCCAGGCCTAATATGATTGGACGCATACATACAAGCCTTGTCATCGCAATCCTTAGTAATGAGACTCTTTGCAAGAACTGGATCGTTTTCTTTCTTTCTTTCTTTCTTTCTTTCTATGAAAGGATAAATCTAGTTTAGAGTTAATGTTCATACCTAATAACATTTTAGAATGATTGTGAATACCAATATGACTTGCTAGCATGACATGTTATTCTATTTACTTCATAGTAATCACAATTTCATTAGAGGCGTTGAAATTTCTCTTGGAAATAGTAAAAAATTGCAATAACGAACCACGAGCATGTAAACATATAACGAGTAATTATGTCATTGTATATTTTCATCACCTTTGGTTGAGAAAATTTTCTAAAAAGTTATGTGAGAACATCACTTAAACTGTCAACGGAACATACAAAATCATTAAGGTGGTCAAATTATCCGATTTAACATTAGAATGGTTGCTTCATGAGTTTTATTTCAGTCAGCCACCTCCTTAAAATACTTTTCTAAAAACACTCAAATTGCTCTTTTTTAGGTTTCGGTGCCTGAAAAATGCAGGGGCATTTCAGTAACTTAGCCTCACTTAAGTTGGCCTGATTCAAAATGATGTGAATACCCATACTTGTTTAGAGTTAGGAACTCAAGACAAGGGTTTTGAACCAAATAAAGCGAGTTCTGTGTTGCTAACCCTCAACAAAGGGTAAAACTGTCACTTTTCTTGGGCCCCTTAATCAAAGAGCAATGATGATAATTGCTATTTGTTTAGACATAGGAACACAGCACATGGATGTCCAATAAAAACAAAGTTCCAGTTGCTAACCTGAACAAGTGGAGTAAAACCATCATTTTCTCAGGCCGTTTATTTTGAGCATGATGACTAAATTAGTGCTTCTTGTTCAGAGCCAGCAACGCATAACCAGCATATAATGAATGCGAAACGAGCTCCTAAGTCTTGAGTTTGAACTACTGGGGCTTCATTGGTCTTTTGACTCGTGCCACTTGGTTTGTGCCAAATGAAACAACCCAGTGTGTCCTATTTTAGAATCCCTGAACAAGGGATTTTAACTTGAAATTTTTTTCCTGATTTGGAAGCTTGATAAGAAGGGGTATTCGTGTTATTTGGATCGGATCTCATAAGTGGAGCCAAATTACTGAAATTCCTTGCTTGTTTAAGCATCCAAAATCTAAATAGGCTTAATGCGAGTATTTTTAAATAAGTTTTTGAGGTACCTGAGTGAAATGAAACTTACAAGATTGTCGTTCTAATGCTAACTTGTATGATTTGACCACCTTAATGATTTTGTAAGATTGTTTGACCATTTAACTTTCCCAAAGGATTTTAGTTTTTACCATGGGTCCCCCAAGTTACAGTAATGAAACCCTTGTAGGTTCCGTGCATCTATATTAGCTCATTTTCAGATTCCTTTGTATGACTGATTGGGAAGTTTTACTCTCTTTCTCTCTCTCTCTC